AGGATCAGATTGGTCTGGAATCCTGAGCTCCCTCCCTCTCTGACCTCTGCTCTCTGATGGATGAATGGATGAATGGATGGATGGATGGATGAATGGATGAATAACCTTCTGCTGGAGGATCAGATCGGTCTGGAATCCTGAGCTCCCTCCCTCTCTGACCTCTGCTCTCTGATGGATGAATGGATGAATGGATGGATGAATGGATGAATAACCTTCCGCGGGAGGATCAGATCGGTCTGGAATCCTGAGCTCCCTCCCTCTCTGACCTCTGCTCTCTCACCTTCAGGATGTTAAAAACATCTAAACTCCTTCAGGGTTAAAGCTGCAGCCAGAAGCTGTGAAAGTAGGTTATCTTTGCTCTGCAGGGTTCCATGAAGGAACCTCAGATCTGCTCTTCCTCCCAGTCAATCCTGAGCTTGACAGAGATAAAATAATCTGTTCTGAGCTCAAATGTCCATGATGAAGAGTTCCAGAACCACAAAACCGAATCTCTGACTGCTGCCTCAGAAGAGAGAGGTCAGGCTGGTTCCGCTGCTGGTGCCAGACATCCTCACAAACCCCAGACCTAGGTCAGAGACCTTCAGCACTTCAAAACTGGAAGGTCCTCAAAGGGTCTGAGCATACTGGACCAGACTTCCTGGAAAACCAAGAAACCCAACATGAAGAAAACCATCACCTTAGAACCAGAGCAGCTCTGTCCTCTGAGCATCCATATGTGGAACATTGGGTGGAAGAAGAGAGGCAGGGCAGCGGGTAGGGCTGTCGGTTCGGTGTGCACCACGGAGACGGACGTGGTGCATGTTCTCTTCTGACCATGTGACCCAAAACCTAAATCTCTTAATAAAGTTACAAGATCCCCCCCCCGAACACACACACCCCAGACTACCCCCTCCCCACCCCACCCCCTATTGCTTCTAATGTTCTCTTTTTCCTTCTCTGCTCCCTGCAGTTCGCCGTCAGAACATGAAGGTCCGGATCAACGCCACGGGCGACACCATTGTCATGAAGTTTGTGCGTCCGAGCCAGGACGTGAAGCTGGAGGGCTACATCCTGGGATATGGAAGGAGTGTTTTCTCCAAACAGTTCATCCAGCTGCCAGAGAACGGCCAGATGTATGAAACAGAGCTAGGTAAGAAGAACGGGTCTGCTGGACCTGATGGTTCAGGTAGATGTCCTTTTCTGAATGTTTAGCTTGGATCCTTCAAGGTGAGTCCTGGAAGTTTCAGGTCTGAACATTGGGTTCTGGAGCAGCCTCAGGGTCTCAGTCAGGTGTAGGGCTTAGCAGGATGGTCCTGGTCCATCTGGCAAATCTAGAAATCTATCATGTGGGCGTTGTTGCTTCCATCAAGAGGAGAACTTCCAGACCTTCTGTCCAGGTGAAACCTTCAGAGGAGAACCATTCTTCTCTCACAGACGTGTGTTCAGTCAGAATAAGGAGGTTTCTGGTGTCTTCTCCATCATTAGCATCAGAGAAACAACCTTTGATTGTTCGGTATTACAACCTTTGATTGTTCGGTATTACGGCTGATAGGCCTGGTGGTTCTGGCCAGATCTAGACTGTGCTGCTCCTGGTCAAGGAGGCTCCATGGATTCATATTAGCTGCTGGGAAACACCAGAAGTTCAATCTGTTCTGATTATTTTCTTCAAAGGGGTTCATGGTTTCTGATGCCAACCACAAGAAGACAGAGGTATGGATGGACTGGACATCTGTAGGACTGTGGACAGTTTGCTGTTTGATCTGAGCATCCCGGTCCATCAGAACTAGGTGAAGGTCCATCCCTTTGTGCTGGTGGAGCCTCCAGGCTTGGTCCTCTCATTCAGTTGTTGTGATTTAACTGCTCCATTCCAGCAACTCACACGTTTAGACCTCTGCAGGACCATGCTTCTGCTTAATGGTTTAAGATGTGAAACACAAACTAAAACCTCTTTAGCTTTGCAGAAGAAGTGGCTTAGTGGGAGACTGGAGAAGGTGTTGGAGCAGGGTTAGCATCAGGCTGCAGGGTTTAGTTTTTGATGCATTGCAGCCATTTTCAAGCTGAGCTCTTCATTCTGTAACAGATGGTCTGAGTCTGTAGCATCTAAGCCGTCCTTAAAACCTCCCTGGCTCTACATGAAGCCTGAACCTCTCACCTTTAACACGTTCTCACTTCTTCAGAGCTCCGTCCAGGTGTTCCTGCAGAGAATGTTTGCCTGTTCTGTAATGGCTTCCATATGTGCGTCTGCACAGTGTCCCCCTGTGGGGCCAGCAGCTCGCTGCCATGACATCCCCTTCATCTTGGCTTTCCATAACAGGGTCCAGCATTCCTGACATGTTTCAGCCTAGCTGGGCTACCACAGAACCCATCCAAGGTTCTAATAGGCTGGAAGGGCTCCAGCTTCAACACTTCTACCTAAACGTTTGTTCCAAGGTCTGCATGATCATAGGAGCTTACACAAAGAAATGTGACTTAATTCTGTGTTTCAGAAAGAAACAAGCATCAATGGTAACAGAAACAAACGAGCTTCAATATGCAGAGATGAAGCAGAAGCAGACAGAGAGTCACTGTTGGAATAAACTGTGTCTGAGCTCATCAAGCACCTCATGTCGTCTCAGATGCTGAACCAAAGTACCTGGTTGCTGTCCAGCCCATTCCAGTCAAAGATGGGAAGAAGCACTGCACAGGTAGGTGACCAGAAGCTCTGAGCTGTCCTTAATGTCTAAAGACTTCTCACAGATATTCTTCTCCAGGTAAGGTGAACCTGGAGAAGCCTCTCCACTTGGTGATTGGGTCCATCAGTCCCACGGCGGTGCTGCTCTCCTGGGGGAACCACCTGAAGACGCCGTATGAGAAAAACATCATGAACGAATGTCTGGAGGACGGGTAATTGTTCTACTTCCACTACCAGCATAGAGTTCAGAGGAATTTAAACTAGCCTGGTAATTTATGATTAGCAGACCTGATCCTAACGACATGACCAATGATCTGTCAGGAAGCTGTGATCGCTGGACGCACCAAAGCCTCTTCGTCCACATTGAGACATATCTGTCCCATTGGGACAATGAATTACAGCAGACGTAGGGTTTGAATCCTCCATCTGTGTTGAGTGATCATGCACAGCCTCCTACAGCCACATTTTTCCTCTCTGTCAAACAAGTTGGAGAAGCCTTTGGAAATCTTGACCCATCAGTCCTTCACTGCTCTTTTTATAGCTAACGTCAGCTCTTTCTGCACAGCGCTTGGCTGCCGGCTTGCAGCTTTTGGATCCCCACTCTGAAAAACACAACTTTAGGGAGAGAAAGTGGAGATGCACGAGGCGGCCAGAATGAACAAGATGCTTGTTTCCATGCTGAGGTCATGACTGCTGCAGGCAGCCAGAGAGAAACCACAGGACTGAAGGAAGCAGGGCGTAGAGCGCTAGCTAATCAACTGTCCAATGTCGGGGTCTTGTTAGCCTGACACCTCAGAGCTGCAGTCAACAAAACTTTGATGAGATCCAGACCTTCAGTCTTGGCTTAATAAAGACCTTTTGGGTTCTTTTGGTGAAACTGATCTTTTCTGAACCTTTAAACATTCAGATCTCTTTCTCTAGCACACCAAATCTTCTCATTTTCAGAACCTCTAACCTTTCTGCTAATTGGATCTTCTTTTTTCTGATGATAAACCTGTTCAGGAAGCTCCATCATTGATTCCTCCATGTCCAATGTGGTTGGAGACATGGAGACAGACAAAAGCCAGGCCTGAAGATGTTTCCAATCCAGTCTGTTGATCATCTAGTAGACTGATGAATCTGTGGTTAATTTTTCTAGTTATGGGCATTTTCTTTTCCTTGTGTCTAAAGACATTTTTTTAGTCATAATTATTGCAGCTTTTTCACAAACAAACCCACTTTTTGTTTGGTGAAGAAACAGAATATGGTTGAATGAGGAGAAGGAACAAAAATAAGTTTCATTATCGGATAAACATCAACAAATATGTGTTCTACTTTTCAGCACTGACAGGAAATACACTAATAAAGTCTGAATACTAATAGTCTGTTGCTCTTGGAGTTGATGGATGTCTATAAAGTTGAGAGGACAGAAAAGTTCTCTACAAAGATGCATCATACGTATCAAACCCTGTTTGTTGCTGTTAAAGGTCATCATCTCTTTCAGATTCTACACCATCCGATACAGGGAGAGGAACAGGAAGTGGATCTACCAGACGTGTCCGACCAGCGACACGGTGATCGATCACCTGAAGCCCGACACCCAGTACGAGTTTGGGGTTCGTTCCAACAAGGATGATCGCAGCGGCCTTTGGAGCAAGCCGGTCATTCACAACACCAACATGGGCAGTAAGGAGAAGCCAGAGATCCTGCTGTTGCTGCTCGTCCCTTCCTGAAGCAATGTCTGATAAACACATTCATATCTTGTTCTCTAACAAACTGTTGTTTCTGAATTTGCAGATAAAAAGATCCAGAAACCATACAAGCCCCGTAAGACTGTGGCAAACTCGGTAAGAAACCAGCTGCTCTACCGTTGAACTGGATGCAGTGACAGACGGTTTTATCTCTGGACTAGAATCCTGTTCATGGTCTAACTTGTTCATGGCTTCTCACGGTTTGGCTTTGCTTTGTTTTCCAGAAATTTCACAGCGCCTTCCCTCCTCCCCCCGGTAAGGATTCCTGTCAACGCAGAGTTTAATGTTTCCTCAGCAGGATTCAAACAACTTGATTACAGGTTGGGTCCTTTAAAACTACAGTAATGATGACTGTTGACTTGTTTGCAGCTCTACAAAACAGAACTAGGACTCGAGTGCAGCCAGGTTACAGCAAGCAGGTTAACCCTGGTGCAGCACGGACCTCTTCTGGTGATTATCTCCTCCTTGATGTTTCTGATTAACTCAGGGCCTCCAACCTCTGGACCAGCAGAGCCTTCAGTGAAGTTTGACTGATGGGATTTAGTCTCCAAAATGAATTAATTAGCATCTCAGGTGGTTGCTGTAGAAATCTTTTCTATTTTTGCTGCTATGTTTGAAAACATTTTCCAAGCTGTGGAAACTATCAGAAGAAAATAATTTTTGGAAGAAGCTTATATCTCCATCAGCCAAACCTGAGCTGTTCTTCTCTGAAATATGGTCGACACTTTTCCACTTCCACTCTTGATTTTTCCTCTTTCTTCGTCTATAAAGTGAGCAAACTGTTTCCCACAGAGTCCCCTGAGAGCCAGCAGGAAACTCTCCCTCTGCCCGGCTCCTCTGAGCCCAAATCTTCTGCCGAGTCGCCCGGTAACCACGGAGATGCTTATTTGTTCTTTAGCCATCAGCTTCATTCATTGGTGCAGCTTCAGCATTGATTGGTTGCATGGTGGCATGCACTCAGCCCAGTCAGAAAGTCCAAACTTCATGCTTATGTCATTGGATAACAGTAAGTTGATATGGCCCCGCCCACCCTCTCATCATGTGACCACAGTCATGCTCAAGCGTCCATCAGCCGCCAGCTTTCCTTCACTTGTTATGTTTCCTTTCTGCTTTTTCTGGTTTTCCATATTCTAGTTGGTTTTTCATCCAAAGCAGAGGATTGTTTTCATTAGAAATATTAAAAAACGGATTAATTTCCAAATAATCTGAACTAATCCTCAAAATTTAGCAATTAGAGATTAACAATCACCTGATAATCATTGCATATATGGCTCTATGTCTGTCTGACGGTAATAGATGTCTTCATCGTCTTTCTTTGATGTTTCTGTCATAGCTGCATTTTCTAACTCGGACTGCATGACAGGTCTGCATGCCACCGAGTTCAGATGCCGACGTTGTTGGACTTTCTGGAGAAAGACAACACAAGTGGTTCATGATTACTGGGACCAAAACATTTGAAGTGTAGTTTAGAGGAATTGTTTTCAGACACAAAGATGAAGGATTGATTTAAAAAGCAGCCAAGGTTTGAATTGACTAAAGAAAGTCTGAACAATGCCGATCAAAGACACTTCATTTCAAACCCACTCGGTCTCAGTACTCAGAGGGAAACTATGAAGGGAGCAATGCTGACCTCTTTGGCTCAGGTTCCCATCATCACAGACGTCTCTCTTCTCTGTCCCAGAAAAAGGAAACAGTCTTAGAATCAACAGAACCCGGCCTGCAGACCGTCTGACTCCTGCCCTCCCCAAGCTGCTGCCAAGCACCACCCCTCGCACCAACATCACTGCCTCCCCTGTCACTAACCTCCCCTCCAATGGCGACTCACTTCATGGGCAGACTACCAAGGCCCCCAGTAGGGCACCAGAGAAGCACCCTAACACTGCGGGTAATTCGCACCTTTCACTTCCTTCTGTTTATCCACCTCTTGGTTTAACACTGGACTCCGCTATGAACAAACCTGAGGCCCCATGGCTGCTTTACTTTGACAGGCTGGAAGCTTCTCTTCCTGTGAAAAATGTTTGTTTTTTCAGCCTTATTTTATCCACACAGCTGCTGTCAGAGCTCAGGATGGCTCATCATTGCTGAGGTCAGCGCTGGCCACTGAGCGGGTCAGACCTTCCACCTGGGGTAATGCTCATCTCACCTGCTTGTAATCAGAGGCAGCCTTGCTCTGTCTGCTCTCTCTCTTCAGCTTCCAGGGAATTATGTTCATTTTCAGGTCTGGCTGCTCCACAGATCTTCTCCTTTAGATCATCTCATCCAGTGTCTGCATGTAGCTCATCATGTTTCAGTCATGGCTGTTTGCCATACTTCAATAGCAGCTTCACTGACTGCGGGTTTAAGATTGTTAGAGCTGATAAACTCATCATCACCATCATCATCATCACCATCATCTTCATCATGCTATTACCCAAATTAAACCCTATCAGGTGGTCCATCACTAACCTCATAGCTCGGGCTGCTGCAAGCTGGCTATCTTTGCGTCACTCTGTAACCAGACCTGCACCTGTTTTTGATCTTTTAGGTGAAAGCAGCAGAAATGTGAGCCCATCACTCCCAGTGAAAACCTCCAGCCCAGCAGCTTCCCCAGTGTCCATGAGGAACCCCCTCTTTCCCTTCTCTAACAGCTTCAGACAGCTCCACTCTCCTTCTAGATCCAGTAGCTCCTCTCCAACATCTGGGATACTTGGGGGTAATCTGCCATCCGTCCTGTACTTTCACTCTGCTTCCAGTTGGACCCCCCACCCCCCAGTTAACCACATCATCTACCAGGACAATCTGTGTAGCTTTATTCGCCAGAACCGTTAGTTGAGGTTAATAATGAAGAGGCCGCTGGTGCTGAACTGGACAGCAGCATCTTAGTTCCTTAGAAACACTTTGAATCAGGAGAAGCATCCATAGATCAACATGAGGGTCGGATTTGGACTGAAAGATTTAGGAAAACCTTTTATCATGATGCTTCTGAATGTATTAGTTATAGTTTAGGATCAGTTCAGCTGTACAGCCGACACCAAGCATCATCTCCTGCTGATTTTAACATAAAGATCAGAACGCTCATTTAGAACGACGCTTCAGACAAAGTGGTGAAAGCTTTAGGTTGGTACTAAAATATTAAACATTATGAAAAGGATTTAGGGAGTTAATGAGACATAAAGGTAGTTTTGTGCAGATTCTTAAGGAAATTACCATTAAAAACAAAACAAACTCTGGACATTTAGAATTCAGGAGATATTAATAATTTATAACAATGTTCCACGTATTCAATCTGTTGGAATAATGGCATAAAGTTCAGTTTATTAATCATTTAAAGATCAGGAAACATCAAAATAAATAGTTAAGTAGATGAAAAGCAAATAGATGTTGGAGCTTCTTCCACAGATCAGGTTTAATGAATTAAGTCCAGATGTTAACCTCTGCTGGTTTCCATCATCAATCTGAGTTAAACAGAATAAACAGTTAATTGATTGTTTTCCTGAAGCTCCTGCAGAACCAGAATAATTCACTGAGTTTGCTTTTAAATCTGAAGCGCGGGTCACACCAGCTTTTTAGCCTCTGATCCGATTTTTTTATTTTTTATGAAAAGTTATTAAAATGAATAAATGACAACCAGCAGCTCATTCTATAAAGCAAAGCTCTACTTAACGAGTATGTGCAGCTTCTAGAACCAGAACAGATAGAAACATAATGAGATCTACGTCTAAAGTAAAGAGAAACGCAGCAATAAACTCTGAGGGATGGTTTCCATGGCGACTGAGAGGTGATTCTCAGAGAGATCTGGAAGTTTTTCTTTCCTTTTTCCATAAAGAGGTGAGAGAGATGCGCTGGTCTGACCTGCTCTGTCTGCTCCTCTTTATTCTGGAGGATCAACTACTTTATCCGTTCATGGGGAAATTTTTTATTTTCATGTTTTTGCTCCAGTCTGTCCTGCTCACTATAAACGCGACTCCAGACGGACTCTTTCCTCTTCAGATTAACAGATTTGATTTGGGATTTTCCCCCAAAGCGGATGAGTTTTACTTTGTCACTGCGTCTCTCTTCCTGTCAGGCCCTTTAAATTGCTGCTGAATTGCTGCATAGTCCAACTAAAGTAGACCTGGGCTCTATCTCAGTCCGAGCTACGCTGCCCCCTGCAGGAAATCATCCTCACCGACTTTCAATCATCGCCATGATCTCTGAGGGATGATTTTCAGCTGGATTGGATAGAAAATCGGATTCAGTTTGTTCTGGGCTTTAATCTGAGATAATTCAACCAGCGATCAGCTCTATGCTGGATGTCCTCATTAATCTGATTGGTCCATCAAACTGTCCTCATTAATCTGATTGGTCCATCAAACTGTCCTCATTAATCTGATTGGTCCATCAAACTGTCCTCATTAATCTGATTGGTCCATCAAACTCTGCATTGATTAATTTTACGTTTCTACCAAACTTCTCACACCAACCACACATTATCTTTATCTCAGTTAAACTGGGCTCCTCTCTTGACTAGGGTTGCCATAGTAACTCTTAAACAATGTGGATGAGCCGGCTCATTTAAATATACAGTGACGCTTTGATGGAGCATTGATGGTTGGATGTGGGCGTGAGGAGGGAGGAGCCTTGGAGGAAAACTGATCATCATCTGAGATTGAAAAGAAAGCTGCTGACTTTATAATTCTGGACTTGTTAACATTTCTGGGTGTTTTATGGATCTGAGGCCACGTTTTCTACTAAAGACCGCTGCTCCATGTAGCAGCAGACAGTCATGACAATCCTGCAGGTATTTCCAGAATCCTGTTGATTATAACCCCCAACATTGCCAACTGGAGGCAAAAAGTTGAAGTTGCTCTTTGTTGAAATCAACTTTTGTGACCCTTTTTGAAAAACATCCTTTCCGTTTCTACTATCAATGACTGACATTTTATTTAGTTGCTTAACCTCCCGGGTGAACAACCAACCTGCTTTTCAGGTCCTGATTCTGGCTGACAGACTTCTGTCCTATTGGAGGACGTTCAGGAGTGTTAATTAGTTAATTAGTGTTAATTATTTCTGCTATGGAAATAATCAGCCTAGTTAACAGAAGTAAAGTGGAAACTATTTTCCCAGTTTTGACGATTTAAATAAGATCACCAAGTGAAAACAGTCAAAGCTTCCTAGTCCTATTGTCTTAGCTGCATTTATGATCAGTGTTTAGATATCAGGCATGAAAGGATTTCCTCTGTGGAGACCAGTTGAAGTCATTGGTTTGATCGTTTTCTGTATTTTAAAGCTGTGGTTTTCAAAGCACAGTCCTCTGGAGGGTTAAACTCATGTTTTCATGATGGAGGATGTGGAAAAATGAACCGGTCTGTGTTCAATTCTTTCTGAAACTTTAACAAAGAACCAGCTGAAGCTGAAGCCACATGTTGGCGGTGCAGATAACGTCCTACAGACCGAACCGAGCTGATTGGGAAAAGCTTCTCTGTTGTAGTTTCTGCTCGTCTCCCTCTGAGGTTGTTGAGGAAATAACAAAGCCATAACAGACATGTGGTCAATAGCGGTCGCCGTGACGACTGAAAAGCTTTGGTTGGTTGTTTTCTCGGTGGGTTCAGCCTTCAGATTCTCTCCTATAATGATCAATTCTCTCCCAACAGTGAACGGACAGCCTCGCCGGGGCATTTCTTCCCCCAAACTGACCATATGGCCCAGAGCTCGACTGGGTAAAGAGACTCGTCCTTCTGTGTCCTCATTAACCCTTCACTTCCCGCTTTGCAGCATTTACATCTCCACTGTGGCTCATGTTGCAGTCCTCATCTATTAATATATTTGTGTCCATCTCCTCATCCATCCATCTGTCCACCCATGTTCCATGTTTTCAGCTTAAAGTCAAGTTTCTGCCCGTTTCCAGCAATGTTTCTGCAGAAGGTCCTTCAAATAATCAGGACTGATTATTTGAAAGGCTCTATCAGTTGAATAGCAGCAGTGGGTTCTGTCATCTTTTGCTCCATGTTCTGATGGGGGGGGGGGGGGGGGGTTTAGCTTTAACTAAGATCTGTTGGTGCATCCAAACCATTGATCTGGGACCTGTTTAAAGCATAAAGATGTAAACATTGGTTCTGC